TGGATAGTCAAACCGTCGACCCAAAAACTGGTGACCAGAACGGTTCCGTTTTCGGGTCGTATGAGCCACGCACTCAAATGGCATAACGCGTATGATACTGCTTAATGGACCTCACACATGATTTTTTTCCTGTAATTTTTGTTGTCAAAACGGGTCATCCGTTCGAACCGGATGATCAAATCGTCGACCCAAAAACCAATGGCCAAAATGATTTCAGAATTTTTTGCTTGTAATTTTTGTTGTCAAAATAGGCCATTCATTCAAACTAGATGATCGACCCATCAACCAAAACCAGTGGCATATATATATATATTAAAGGGCTGGCATTTGGCGAAATGGAAAACCACCCCTATCCCTTCTTTAATAAATATATATAAGATGTTTATGTACATCAGTGTCATTGTATCTAAAGGCATACATTGCCCAACAACCTCTTCTAGACCGGTCTGTCCATCGGGCAGGACCAATGAAATTGCTGAACTCCAGTGGACTGTCCCCATGATTAACTTGCCTCTACAAATGTGAATAAAGATAAACTAGTTATTGTATCAAGCATCACCAAAATAAAATAAAATAAAATAAACTGAAACAGAAAACAAAAACGATTTCACAGATTATAAGCAGTACCAATCTGGAGTCCTTAACACCTTTATCTCAGGGTCGAGAAACAACTTTCTTTAAGCGCTTATCAGGCACAGGTAAGACAACCATAGGCTCTTGGGCACCATCGGGCTTTGTTTGCACGTCTGGCCTCACTTTCAACTCTAGTCTTGTTTCTTGGACTGCCTCTTGCTGCACCAATGCCTCCGGCTGTATCTCTGTTACTCGTGCAATACAGGCTCAGGGATGGGTGTATCAGACTCTCGAGCTCGTGGTGATGTCGGTTGTGCGCCAGATTAAGATTCCACCCATTCCCCTGGCCCTTGCACCGTAATGATGTGCCTGAAAGAAACCTGCGCACCACTTCGTCCAAATAATATATTACCCCAAACCATAAAATAAGACATACAGCTCCTACCATTAGAGGGGTGTTCATGGTTCAGTTAATCAAACCATAAATAATTTTTCAAATTAAATCGGTTTTACCGGTTTTTTTATTTTTATATTTATAATATATATTATATAAACATATGTATAATATTACATTATAAATAATAAATGATATATAATATATTATAAATATTATAAAAATATATAATTTATAGAAAATATGTGATATATATATAAATATATACCAGTTGGTTGAATTAACTGGTGGTATTTTCTAAGTTAATCAAAAGTCAAACCAGTTCTTCGGTTTTTTCAAAAATATCAAACCAAAATCGAACTGATTCTAGTTCAATTTTCTCGATTCAGTTAGGTTTTTCGGTTTTTTATGAATACCCCTACTTTCCACCGGATTATCGATACCAACAGCACACCGTTAGTCACCACCTTCCTCCACGTTCACTCCAATACAGAATGGCATAGCGTGCACTACACCCTCTACGTAAGGACAACGAGTGAAAGCATCAACATCTAATATTCTACACTCCAATTGATCAACACCAAAATTCTTCCCTCTCCGAGTCCGAGCATTCAACTAACACTTCCCACGATATACATCCAACACTACATTCTCAGAATCTATACCCTCCAAATTCGACATCGACATGCACTTCAAAGAGAGGTCAATTTTCGGGGAGTAACATCAAGGCTGAATCTTTCGCAAATATACATAAATAAAAACAATGTGAAGACATAACAAGTCCTTTGGGTACAACTCAGATCTATTACCTGATGCACAAAGTTGTCCATTTGATCATATGGGTATCCCAAAAACATTGAGGCCAAATGGCCAATGGGAGCTAATACAATACAGCGAGAGGAATTAGTGACGCCCCAATACTGTAGTCAAGACTGCCAGGAAAGAAGAACCGTTAAACAATATACAAAATAAAAGCGGCCAAATGACATTGGTTATCGGCATTGTGAGGGCAAAACGGCCTCAACAAGGGGTAGAGCTAATAGCGCAGCGACATCCTCTACTAAAATGCCAAATTCACCAAAAGAACCTATGAACGTATGTCCGACAGCACTTGTGAGCCAATAAAAGCTCCGCTCCATAAAGTCCACACCCTCGCCGCTAGGCAGATGCATGTAGCAATCAACCAATATCAATAGATCGGTGCAGTGAAAGAACCTATTTCCAATGGGAAAATCTATGATGCAGAAAAGACAGGTATGGAAAGAATTTTGACCAATCAAAACCCGCCCATGAATTTTGATAAATAACACCATGTTCCCTATTATATTTATAATTCTGGTTTATTGGTCAGTTGTTTTTCGGATATCATATGTTTTCTATATCATAATTGAACCCATTTCCAGTACATACATCACCCACGTTGTTTTTGCTTGCGAGGCACCATTTGATTTACAGGACCTAAACCCCCAAACAAGAAACCAAAAAAATGGAAGAAGGAGAAGATTAAGATCAACTGCACTCTGTATCCTGATTACAAGAAGACGAAGTAGGGGAACGGGGATCCCATACCCACCTTTCCCTTTGTAACGTCACATCACAAATGACTAGCGAAAATTGAAAATAAACTTAACACAAATTGGGGGCAAGATTACCAAGGTTTTGCACTTTACAAATTTGTATTTGTATTCCTTTCAAAATCTACAAAAACTACATCACAAGACAAGAGGGGGAGCAAAAATTTGCTTATTGATAAAATCTCCATTTGTGATGAACACCAGTGTGACATAGCAAACCCTGAATCAAGGTTCAAAAAATCGATATGCCTAATATACCCAATACACCGATAGGGGCGTATCGGGCAATATCGATACTACTTTTTTATTTTTTTTCAAAACCGGTTCAGGGGGCTGGTTTAAGACTCCACCCCCTGAACCGGTCAGACCTCCGATACACCCACTGTAAGGGCGTATCGAAGGGATCTCGAAACGATACATATCGGCCAATACGGGCTGATACGTGTTGATACTTTGAACCTTAGAAACAAATATAAGTTGCTCGCACCTGCAATGAGTCTAAAACATCATCCATTACCCACAGAAGTTATAGTTCATTTCCCTATTGAACTCAATGAGCTGCGATGACTCATTCCGAGGCGACTGTTAAGCTGTCTAGACACATCAACTATTCAGGAACCCCACCTCTGACAAGTGGCCACAGGAAAACCCGAAGGGAAATAGCCAACATGTATTGCGTGAAGATCCTCAAAGAAAATGAAACCTTGTTCTTAAAGGATCTTAGTTGACACATGGTGAAACCCCAAAGGGTCTATCTAGTAACAAATAAAGAATCGAGATTCCCTTCCTCGATAAGAAATGTCCTCATTTATATGTTTTTCTTTATAGTCTCGGAAGAACCTCTATAATAAAGGGAGACACATCACACTATACGAACCTGACCCCAAGATCCCCGGACTATATTCCCTAAACCCTCACCATAATCTCTCTAGTTTCTAAATCGAACTCACCCCTCACCCTAGTCCCCCGACTCTGATCGTTTCTCATCTTCGAAGAAGACCATCCCTTTGCCACCTTACCATCCCACCTACACTACCCTTATTTTTAATATAACAAATATACAATAGCACAACCTAATCATCTCTTCCTCTTTTTGTACGTTTCTGTTCAAAAATAAAAATCTACAACTAATACAGTGATACTGTTTGATGTATATTTGTTAATTAGCTATTCAAATACATTCATGTTATAAGAATAAGCAATGAAGCACATTGATTTGTCTGTCCATCGACATGCCCAAATTCAAATATCTATCTCTTTTTATGAATAAAAATCAAATATTAACTTTGTTGTCTAATAATCGCAAAGAATCTAAACATTGATCAAGGCCGTCAAGTCCCAAAACCAACATTTTGGAGCGAAGCTGCAAACAATCTGAAATTTCTCTGCTCTGTATCATCTTATAAGTCCCAACAGCAAACATAAGCATATTACAAAACACCATGGTGTCATAGAAATGAGATAAAATGCAAAGAAATGAAATTTCAAGCTGCAGAATATAGAAACTTGGTTATAGTCAGTTTTTCAATCACTAACAGAGTTGAAGCCATGTCCTAAGAAAACCAAAGTCCCAGGTGTTGCAATGGACTTTATTTTATTAGCTACAGATCAAAGAGATTTTATTTATATACCACAATAGTAAATCCCTCACATTAAAGCAATGCGAAGGGACAAAACAAAAAAAGTGCTTTGCACCGACTTCTACATAGAATTTACAGAAAAAAAAAAAGGTCATCCCAAATTCAAGTATTCAACACACCCCAACAGAGTCTACCACTCCTCGAGCAAGGCTACCAGTCTACATGGGATCCAGTTGTACAAGTTTTAATCTACATGTTGCAAAGTTTTTAGAACATTGTTCCCGTAAATTACACCTCACACACAAAATCTACAACAATTAGTCAAAACTTTCAAGATACAAAGCCAACTCTGTACAAGATAATTGACAGGAAACTACGGATGAATACGAGCTCAGACTGGAATATTTCTGAATTGCAAGCACATACGTTTTGACAATATGTGTCACACAGATGGCAGCAGCCAATTGACAAACTGTTGTTGACTCTAACCTTGGAAGACAAATGTACAGAAAATGGAGGATCTTCATTTTATTGACAAAAAGTTTCAAAGGGAACTCACTGATCATTCTCCCTTTGTCCTGGCATTTATCAACAGCAAGTCAGTAAAGAGTTGTTTAGAGAGGAAATAGGAAACCTATATCATGAAAAATAGGCAACTTCTGTGATACCGGAAAGGTATGATACCTCAAAAACTTCAACCAATCAGACAACCAAGCGAGTTTCAATGAATAGCAGTTAATTGGTTACCAAATGGATGATATTGGTTTATTGGCTCAGTTTTTTAGGAATGATACCTTATCAGTATCATATTCAGACTCTGAAGAATAAAGAAAGAGTTGGATACTTCAAATGTTTCTCTTCTTACCTGACTGAGGGAGTGTTGTTGGGATCATCACCCTGGAGGCTGTGATTTGAACTACCAGGTTTAGCCTTATCAGAATCAACATCATAGGATGAGAGCAACCTTCTCTATATCATGTTTAAACAATTAGATTCAAGCATAGGATTAAAAATAACGAAAAGCTCAATTTTTCTGGCAAACAACATTTCATGTGATGCACATTGAAAAGGGGTATTTACCACATAGCACATTATGACACTCAGATATGCTACAGATATGGAAGAGAAACTTTTTACACAACTATGACATCAAAAGTTGTTTGACAACAGATCCAGCTAAAATCAAGGGTAACACCATGTTGATGAACCAAAATTAATGCTTTCAAGTCTTTCCTATCTAGTTAAGATGAGATATTAACCTAAGCTTTGTTTGGAAGAAATACTAACTAGAAATCATCATCCTTTCATGTCTTGGCAGCTGCATTAGCGCTACTAGCAAGAAAAATAATTTTTTTGATCAGCTGCTAATGAAAAGAAAAAAAAAAATGTTGTTTGAGAAAACAATGAACCATGCAAGAGGGGTTTTTAGTTAGCTGGAGAAATTTAAACATAAAGGGGCATGAGGATCAGTTTAGACTTTCCTAATCATGGTTTGGTCGCTCATCTTTACTAGTAATCAGTACGTTGCATGGGGCAATTAGAGTCTGGATAAACAGTTTCATCTGCAATAGAATCAAAGCAATGGAAACCACTTCATCATTGTCATGTTGTGCACAACAAAACTAAAGGCCCCCTCAGTTAAACAAATAGTTCACTATATTCCATTTGCAACAGTTAATAGTCTAACCAATAACCATGTCAAAAAGAACATCCTACTACTCACTGGTGCATGAAAAGTACAGGTTCCTTCCTGACACATCACGTTACATCATATAATTGCATGAATGAGTGGTAGCCTAACCTCCAAGAGAAAGATAAAGGCCATTACCAAATGTTGGTCCCAGCAGTCTGGGGTCTTGGGAGGGGTAGACTGGATATGGTCCTAACCTTTGGCATTTTTTTGGAACCAAGTGGCTGCTTTCAGGCTCGAAACCACATCTCAAGCTTGCCAGCCTGAGATCGTACCAAAACACCAAGTAATGGCCCCTAAATTGTAGGAACAGGAGAATTGAGAAAAATGCCTGTCAAGATATGACTATATGAAAATGTATGCAAAAATATGGACGTCGAGGATGTAATTTCCTTTGTCAACAAGCTTGAATGCTAGCTAAACTAGTATATGATTATTGGAATCAACAGATGCTAGATAAACTCACAACTTTGCATGTAGTCAATACAGTGATGTGAGACATCTTCCAGCAATTCTCACACTTAACCACTGTATTTGAGTTGCACTGATGAAGGGAAGCATCTGATAATAGTATTGTGCTTCTAGTCACTAGCACCATATGATCCATCATGTTAAATCTGTTTGTATAAATAATTGAAGGATGTATTCCTTGGGAAGCCACTCAAGCACCACCGAGGAGATGATATTTTTTGGCTAGGCAGGATCTGGTCCCCAGGTCTCTGCTACAATCAGCAGGAGACTTACCAGAAAACCAACTGGCACCTTCACTGAAGAGATAATCTAATATTGCATCTTGCAAGCTACCACACTGAGCCTAAGAACAAATGCAACAGCCAACTACAGTTAAGTCTTTGGCCAACACATTGTTAATTATATTGAGTTACTGCAGACATACAAGGCATGCCACATAAATGGTTCCGTTCCAATTCAAGCCATAAAAAGATGAGTGCTATCAGATGATGAAACATTTAACAGGAAGAAAATGAAATGCACATGATCAGTGGACAAATTCACTTACATGATCCTCAAAATCTGGGCTTGACAAATTGATTGAGAGATTTCTCATTAACAGTAACACCTGGAAAAGGAACAAATAAGATCAAAAAATTACATTTTTTATGATAAAGGAAATTTTCACTAAAATAAAAAAGGATATTACAAAAGGTGATAATGAATCAAGAAAAGAAGGGTGGGAGTTCTTTTTTTCTTTTTTTTGCATAATGACCCCTTGACGCCTTTGTAAATCCTAGGAGGGTCTTTTTCTTTACAGTGTAAGTTAACCCAACCCAACAGACCACCCAAAACATACACTCAATGAACTTTTGATCCTTCCAACCAAAACCCTTTTCTACACAACTAACAATATATCCTAAACATTCATCAGCTACATCTGATTAGACTCTTAATTTTATACCCCCTGAAAAAAACCTACACCATCTTCCTGCCAAACCCCCATCACTAATGCACTAAGCACTTAATTGAAGTTCCAACTCCACCTGTCTTTTCAACCTCGACACACAAAGACAAAAACCTTACAGTGACCCCCCTCAATCCTTCATCATACCGACAGACAAAAGCCTCTGGATATCAATGCTTCTCCTTACAAACCTGCCCTTCTATGTATTTTTTTCCAACTCTATAAACTACGTTGCAGTTAAAAATGTTGACAAATACATGAACGCAATATTATGGTAAGATCCATCTCTTAAGCATGGACATGGAAATGTCTTCCATATGTAGTTGGAGAGTCAGATAACAAGCAGAACTGATGTAATGTAGGCTCAAGGGATACAAAAAAACTGGAAAAGACATCAATTATAGAATGACAAAGAATAAAATACTCTAACAAGTGAAAAAAGAAAATATTGATTGGAAGTTTGCATTTCTAAAAATACAAGTCCATTCCTGTTTAACATAATAAACTAAGAAAATTAGTTTTTACCCATAACAAAACTGAGATGGTTCAATCTAATCTATAGGCCACTTATTATCAAAAAAAATCTTACCTATAGACTCAGTGCCATGATGAATTGACTCAAGGAAAATTAATAAGCCAACCCAGTGTAATACAACATTTTGGTCTTAATAAGGTGAATAACCTTGTTTGGATACATCTTCTTGGCATCCTCAATCAAACCCAAGTTTCATTAGACCCCAAGTAACAAGGAACTAATCTGGAGAGCCAAGGGTGAAGAACAGCAAGTATGTTTGATCCCAACCTAACATCATCCTAAAACCCTATCCTAGTTTCCAACCTACAACATAACTGACAAAATTGAAAGCTACATATTGATTTTCATGAGAAAACAAAAGATCTTCAAGAAACCTTTTTATCACATTCCAATGGATTAAGATCATATTTTCCTCATTGACTGCATGCTGTTGTGATGCAAACATGGAAAAAAGAAAGAAACCATGAAAGAAAAGTCATGTTTCTTTTCATTTCTGAACTAGTGGTGAGTGAATTAATTTTTTGAGAGAAGATAAGTATAGTGGTGAGTGATGAAACCCAGGTTGTACATGGATGATGTATCTTATTTCAATTTTTGGTTAGTAACAGTTATTCATAATTTTAATTAATAATAATGAAGCCCATCCACAAACTTTACATAATATTGCCATATAAAGGATGCTGTATAATGCAAGATACTTCATTTTTTAGTCTAAATTTTATATCTGATACCTTGTTCATCCATGTCCTAATTGTATCTGGTAACATAGAGTAATGGATTTCAAAGTATGGTGTTAGATGTCATCATTATGCCTATTTTGGACTAGCTGGAATAATACACTAGTAACTTGAGAAGAATGGTACAGTTCTTAAAGAAGACATACAGTTTCGACATCAATTGGATCCATCTCCTTTAGTTTCTGTAAGTGGCCACTTGTTTTGGGGTCAAAGACACTACCAATGAAGCTATATACTTGAGCAAAGTCTGGCATAACTGCACCAAACAGAAAGGGACATAATTAATGCACCAAGACAAGTATAAGTAGTGCAACAATTAAAAACAATAACAAGAAACAGAGAAACAGAAACTGCAAGAACTCAGATTATATTATGGAAATTAAACTTAAAGACCATAAAGAATATGCCAAAAAGAGGGAACAATAATAATACAAGCAAGGGTGCTCCCTAGATGCACAGACAAATAAACATATCTGCATGAGCAATATCCCATGGACCAACACAACAACAAAAGACATTGTCAACAACAATCTAATGTATCGTTAACAAGGAGATCTGTAACCTCTTATTCTTTTTGGTGGAATTATATTTCCCAAGCCAGATTCTCTAAGACCACTTTAGCATGATTAAGAAAAGGAGTTTGTTTGTGTCATAGAAAATGACAAGTTAGATTCTATAGACAAGGGGTCAGCAGATCTAGATTGAACTTTAGAATTATAATCCACTATATATGCAGAAATAAACTCAATTGGAAAAATCAACTAGTGAAGTATTGAGGTTTATGCTTATTTTGTCATCTACAGTGGATGGTGACATTTATACAACATTGACAATTTTGAGCGGTAGTGTTAAGACCTAGAAATAGACCATTCTAGATAGCCAAACCCAGGCTCCTAAATTCTGTGGAACATTGGACCTTGATGCATTACCAATGTTTCCATAGCAAAATATGTAATTAAAATCAAAGGAAAGAAACCATCAGAACATAACCAGGTTCAACTTTGATGGTAGTAGCATGGGTAATCTCAGTTCATCAGGCTTTGGTCGAGTATCCATAGATAGCCTTTACTCAGTTCCCATGGGGATAGTGGACTCTACAAGGGCTGAAGTTCAAGCACCCCTGCATGGGATAACACTGCCAAAACCTGTGGTTTTAACATTTAAAAACATAGTAGAAAGAGATCCCAAGGTGCATGTGAATTGGCTAAGAAATGGAAGTCAGGGGGCATGACAATCATCATCATCCATGTCTTAACCCAACTATATGGGATCGGCTTCATGAATCCTGTTTCACCAATCCATTCTATTTAAAACCATATCCACTATTAAATTATTAGTGCCTAAACTATTCCTTAATACTTCTACCCATGTCCTTTTTGGTCTACCCCTAGCTCTTCTAGCCCCTTCCACTAGAAACAAATCACTTCTTCTAACTGGATCTGCTGGTGGTCTTCTATGCACGTAACCAAACCATCTTAGCCTACTCTCTCTCATTTTATAACTTATTGGAGCTACTCCTAGGTTTCTACAGATGGGTTCATTCCTGATCCTATCCTTTCTAGTTTTTATAGAAATATATTGAAGGAGATAAGATTTTTTTTTAATCAATAACCGATAACCTGGTGAGGAACTTGGTACATGCATACTACAGCTGATAAGATAGACAAACAAGGGATGAGCAAGGACCATTTTTTCTGGGGCACAGTTGTTAAGCATTTGAGGTTAAAGGGGGAAAACATGTAGGATTGGGGGATGAATGGACAACAGGGAAGAGGACACGTGGAGGTTGGAAGTGGTGAGTTGGTGGAAGTTTAATGGTCAAGTGAAAAGTATGAGAAAGAAGATAGGGAACAGGTGATAGCAGGTGAGTTTAAAATAGAGGGAGGAGTGGAGACCACTTTTTTAAGACTTAAGAGTTTGAGAAAGGTTTTCAAAGGGGGAAACCGAAATAGAAGATCACAAGTGGTAAATGGGAGGGCTATTACAGGATAGGGGAAATGTTTTTCAAAGGTGTTGAGATCCCATTCCCATAAGGTTAGAGACGAGAGAAGGGGGAGAGAGACTTCAAAGGAAAGCTAGATTTGGGTAGTCACAAGGTTCGAGAAAGGGAAGACAATCGCAGTGGAAGGACTTTCCGAGGAGTTTGGGTGTGGCTTGTTGCTGGTGAATAACATAGCAACAGATGAGGAAGAGGGTTTGTATTTGATCTACAAGGAAGAGCAGAAAAAATGTGTGTCAAATCAGACATCTTTCAAATGAGCAATAATCAAACCTTCACGTCAATGTGGGGGAAATAGAAGAGATTAGCAATGAGATAACAGAGGGGGAACGGGGAGTGAATCAGATTTTGGTGACAGCATCTGTGGATACCACAGAGAGACTTCCACCTAGTTCAAAATCCCTTGACATAATAGCATAGCTGAACACAGAGGTGAGTTCTACTCTTGTTTCCTCTTCTCCTGTGCCAGGGGATCTTAACAAGGAAGCAGAGGGTAAGGAAATTAGAGTTGGTGTAGAGGAGAGTTGAGGGAGGGGGTGAAGAGAAAGTTTTTTAGTAGGGAGAGAAAGTTCATATTCAGCACAGAGTGTATAATAGAAGAAGAGCGTCAGTGCAGTGAGGTGGAGGAATTGGGGCTGAAAGGGGAGGAATAAAAGTTCGGGAGTAAATAAGGGGGAGAGAAGGGGAGTTAGGGTGGACATTGAACAACCCGTGGAAAGACAGGTGGTAGTGGAGAAATCTCTTGGATTATTCTTCTTGGGTGGGGAAAATGTGGTTAGAAAAGCAACAGAACATTTTGAAAGAAGTAGAAGAGAGGAGTATAATGAAAAGAAAACAATCGGAGAAGGGGGTAAGACATAGGAGTAGGGGGGTAAACGGTATCCAAGTATCCAATTTCATATTTGATATCCGATGTAAATTAATCAAATTCAGATAAATAGATCAGGAGGAACTAGAGGAGGAAATAAGGGGGAGAGAAGGGGAGTTAGAGGGTATCAAGGGAGAGGAAGGGTCAGGGAGGGAGAACAGTAACAAGGGTAGGGTGGGCATTGAAGAACTCATGGAAAGACAAGTGGTAGTGGGGAAATATCTTGGGTTATTCTTCTTGGGTGGGGAAAATGTTGTTAGAAAAGCAATAGAACATTTTGAAAGCAATCTGGGAAGGGGGTAAGGTGTAGGAGTAGGGGTGTAAACGGTATCCGAGTATCCGATTTCAAATTTGATATCCAATGTAAATGAATCGAACTCAGATAATTCGACTAATTTAATGGTCAAATTTGAATTAAATTTTAATGCTGATTAATTTATCAAATCGAATTCAAATATAGGTTTATTCAATTCGATAAATATTCAAATTCGACTAAATACAAATATAATACATATTATTACAAAATATATATGAATATACTGTAATATAGGGCTACATGTCTTATACTCTTAATACTCTTACACCTTTTTAGAAAAAAAAAATTATTGTCTTATTTAACATAAAAAGACAAAGAACAATTAATGAATGATAAAACAGTTCAGTTGACTATTATATTCTTTTTCTTTATCGACACAATCATCCATTAACCCCTCCCTGCAACTCTCATTTTTCCTCTTTTTTTTGATAAATGATAAATGAGTGAAATTTTATTAATCCAGCAAACAAGAGTTACATGCAACCCGTGGAAAGGCACAAGATGCGATCTTTCCTTTAAAACTAATTACAGAATTATAAGTACAAAAGAAATTACACCAAAGCCCAAAATAAAGTATCCCGGAAAACCCCTTGTTTGCAAGTGAATCAGCCAATGAGTTTGCTGATCCCAGAAAACCCCTTTATCTTCTCCATTTCTCCCTTGTATTCTAACCTATTACCCCTCCTTGTCTCTGCCTCATCTCCCTCTCCCTTTCTCATTTTATCTTTCTCCCTTGTTTTCCCTGTATTTTAACTTGCAATCGAAGGTAGCATGGGGAAGAAGGGAGATAGCACCAGGTTTTGTCGAAGACATATGGGCTTCATGGCATTCCAACTTCTGTCATTTGAATCTCAACTTCTACCAGTTGTATCCATCCAAGCTCTTTCATCTCTTGCTTTCTCTGCTATTTCTCTATCTCTCATTTTTATATTTTTTCTAGGTGTTTTTTGCTTCTCTTTTCTTCTTATTCTAGCCTTTTGAGGTTTTCTTTTTTGCTCACAAGTCATAGCAATGGGGTTTTTCCTTGTGTGATTTGATTTCTAGATTTAGGATTTTCAATGTTTATACAACCAGTCAAATTTGAATCGATTTGAATATTCTAGCCTTTTGAGGTTTTCTTTTTTGCTCACAAGTCATAGCAATGGTTAGGAATGTGCTGAGAAATCACAGACCGAATGTAGTGCTGCCACCAAAGACAAAACTATAGACCTTGACCAAGATGACGGTGGATCTTTTGAAGACCATTGTTTGGTGTAACAGACTTCAATCCTTGGTCCCCTTCAAAGGCCTCTTGTTGGCCAAACATTAGAGGCAGGGAGTTGGCCAAGTTAGTTTGGAGCCGCCATAGTTTTCAAGGCATCTAGGCAATTCTAGTCACCTAATCACCTAGGCGTTTTTTTTCAATCAATTGGTGACGCCTAGGCAATAAAATTTTATAATATAAGGAATTACCTTTATATACCATTCAAAATGTATAGTAATTGAAAAAATAGCAATTCTCTTTATTAAGAACATTAAATTTCCTCTAAAAATGTGGCAAATAATCACATCTAGAAGATAAAATCTTCTACATATATTGATTTCATTATTTTCAAAAATAGCACTACTATAATAAGTATTTAATAGAACGATTTCATGTCAATTAGCAACTAAAGAAGGTTATTAACTTTATATGATAAAGATTCAAGATGGAAAGTAAAATAGCAAAAACAATGACTGTATTTTTGTTATAGAAAAAACTCTTTATATTTCTATTCTTTGATTCTTTCTTTCCTCTTTTTTCTTTTTCTCTCCTCAAAACCCTTTGATCTTTTAAATTTCAATAGTAAAACATTAAAACAAAGTATAAATGATATATATAGAATTTAGAGATGGTGAAGGCAGAATTATTGCTGACCATGATGGAGACGATGGAGAACTTTGTGGAGGCCAATCAGTGGAGAAGATTTCTAAAGGTGGAGGCGAAAAGCTTTCTGATGGAGGAACTAAAAATCAGAGGACGGACTAGTTTGAAAATCAGGGAAGCTAAGAAGGCTTTTAGTACTGCTGGTTGGGTTGGACATGGTGCAAATG